AAGCAAGAAAGATGATGTCTGAGGAAAGGCAAAAAGCAGTTCTAAATAGTCGCAGTTGCTTTTTATGTTTAGACAGAAAACATGTAATAGCTAAATGTAAAAAAAGAACATCGTGTGTGATTTGTGAGAAGAAACACCCCATACCATGCTGAATCAAAATCTCCAGTTCCTGTTAGCATGAGTAAGGATAAAAATACGGATGCAGTACTTGAATGAGATGAAACCCTCGCCAATTTGGCAAGAACAACAAATGTGTTTTTGCAAACTTTAACGGTTACATTGAAAGGGCGAGATATAAAGCACCAGGCCCGTGCTATTATCGATTCAGCTTCACAGAGATCTTATATTTTAAAAAGCACTGCAGATGAAATGAAATTTGAGAGTACATCTAAAGAAAGATTGAGCCATTCATTATTTGGCGGGTCATGTACTGATGTCATAAACCACGATGTTTTTACAGTGTTCTTGTCTAAAACGGATGGAACTTATCATTGTAACTTCAAAGCTCTTAGCCAAGATATTATTTGTGGAAGTATACCACCAGTTGCTAATGGCGAGTGGATTCGAGAGCTTAAAGAGAACAATATTTCCGTATGCGACGATAGTAATGGACCAATAGAAATACTTATTGGCGCTGACATTGCAGGCAAGTTGATGACCGGAGGATTTAAATTGCTTACTTCAGGCCTTGCTGCTATAGAAACAAAACTTGGTTGGACTCTTTTTGGGAAAAATGGTATGCGTGAGATCTCGGACAATTCCGCACTGCTCGTCACATCCATGTTGAATAAGGAAATATTGATATCCGATCTATGGTCTCTAGATTCACTTGGAATTCTAGATCCATCAGAGAAGAAAAGTAAACTGGAACTTCAAGAAGAAGCAAGAGATCATTTCTTGTCTACTGTAAAGGTGAACGAAGAGGGACGTTTTCAAGTCAGCTTGCCATGGCTTGATAACCATCTACCGTTAAAAGATAACTATGACTTAGCTGTAAAGAGATTAGCTTCTACAGTAAAACGACTAAAAGCTGAGAAACTTTATGATGCTTATGGAGAAGTTTTTAGTGAATGGGAACAAGAAGGCATCATAGAAGAAGTACCAAAAAGCGAAATTGATGTAACATGCCATTATCTACCACATCGACACGTATAAACATAGTAAAAGAAAACAGTACTACACGAATCAGGCCAGTGTTTGATGCCTCGGCCAAACAAAAAGGATCCCCTAGTCTCAATGATTGTCTAGAAAAAGGTCAGAACCTTATCGAACTGATTCCTTCAATTCTTCATAGATTCCGAATGAACAGAATAGGAGTTTCTGCAGATATACGAAAAGCATTCTTACAAATAAGTCTCAACCCTAAGGATAAAGACTATCTAAGATTCTTATGGTATAGAACTGATGGAAAACTGAAGTATTACAGGCATTGTAGGGTAGTATTTGGAGTTACAAGCAGCCCTTTCTTGCTAGTTTCTGTAATTCACCATCTTCTAGAATCCACTTTGAAACAACTAAATGGAAACCCAAAGTATAAAGTGGATATTATTGAGCAATTGAAGAAGAGCTTTTATGTAGATAATTGTTTAGCGAGTGTGAAAAATGATTTAGAATTGCAACAATTCATACAAGTTGCTTCAGATACTTTAGCTACAAGAAAGCTAGAATTACGTGGTTGGGAATATAGTGACCCAACAGATAATTCCTCTAGTACCACAAATGTATTAGGAATGATTTGGGAACGATGTGGAGATTACCTTTGCCTTAATATTACTAACATCACCTACAGTCTACCAGAAATTTTGTCTAAAAGAGAGATTTTAGCTACTACACACAAAATATTCGACCCTTTAGGAATAGCTTGCCCCGTAACTCTTGTGCCGAAACTTTTACTTCAGCACCTATGGGAAGTTAAGTTATCTTGGGACCAAGAAGTTGATTCAAATTCAAAATCACAATTTTGTAAATGGTTGAATGATTTGCAGTGTCTGGAAAGAATGAGAATACCAAGATGGTTAAACTGTGATCGTGAGATTGAAAATATCTCACTTCATTTCTTCAGTGATGCGAGTAAACTTGCATATTCAGCTGTGGCCTTTGTTCGAGTACAAACAAGAGATTCGGTTCAAGTTCATTTGGTGCAAGCTAAAGCGAGAGTTGCACCCAGCGGAAGGAAAAAAGACAACAATAGCTCGATTGGAACTTCTTGGAGCTACAATATGTGCACGTTTAGCATCCAGCATAATACCTGAATTTCAAGCTGATGATATTTATTTTTGGACAGATTCGTCTACTGTGCTAGCTTGGATACAGAGAAATGAAGTATGGGACGTATTTGTTCACAACAGAATTAAGGAAATAAAGCAACTGACTTCTATTGAATCTTGGAGGCACGTACCAGGATCACTGAATCCTGCTGATTTGCCCAGTAGAGGATGCTCTGCTTCTTATTTAATTAAATCTAGATGGTGGGAAGGTCCTAAATGGCTATATTTATCACCAGAAAAATGGCCAAAAGAAGATTTTAGTGCTGATGAAGAAGAAATAGCTCTTGAGAAAAAGAAAAGGATTATTTCGTCCTTAATAAATCTTAATGCTAGTGAAATAGTTGCTACTAGATTCTCAAGTTATCGTAAGACAATCAGACTGGTAGCGTGGATGTGTCGTTTTGTTTACAACTGTAAACATCAAAACAAGAAAAAGGATGAACTTACTGTATCTGAGTTAAATGAAGCAGAGAATATCTTGATTCGTTTAATACAAAATGAGTCCTTTAATGGAATAGAAGATAAACGGATTTTAAGTCTTAATCCATTCATTGATTGTGGGATCATCAGAACTAAAACAGCGAATATTTCAAAGAGAAGATACATCTGAGTTCAGAACTCCTGCTATTTTGCCAAGTGATCATCCTCTTATAAGAAGTTTAATAATGGAAGAACATAAGTTGAAAGGACATGTTGGAGTTTCTCACGTCCTAAATTCCTTAAGAGAAAGATTTTGGATATTAGCTGGAAGAAGAGTTGTGTCATCCGTTTTTGAAAACTTGTATAACCCTGTAAGCGTTATTCAAACAAAAATGTAACCCACCAGTTAACCCACCAGCGCCACCACTTCCTAGAGATCGGGTACAGGATGCCTCAGTGTTTCAAATAACCGGCATAGATTATGCTGGACCTATATTTCTAAGAGACTACAAGAAGGCATGGATTTGCCTATTCACTTGCGCAGTGTACCGTTGTGTTCATTTGGAACTGGTTACATCCTTAACGACAGATACATTTCTACAAGCGTTTCATCGTTTTTCTGCTAGACGTGGGAAGCCATCCATAATTTATACTGATAATGGAACAAATTTTGTTGGAGCATGCAATGCACTTGCTTCAATCGATTTCAATGAAATTGCAAAAAAAGGAGCTAATGAACGTATTATTTGGAAGTTCATTCCCCAGGCGCTCCATGGTGGGGTGGAACGCCTCATAGGAATGATGAAAAGAATATTAAGAAAAGTTCTTGGGAGAGCCTGCCTTAGTTATGAGGAAATGTGTACCGTTTTGTGTAACTGTGAAGCTATCCTAAATGATAGACCTTTAACAGTTGTATCGGCTGATTCAAGTCTCACTTCCATAACACCTGGAAATTTTTTACGAGAAATACAAAACTATTCAGTGCCAATTGTGAAACATGACTTCAATTCTAACTTTTATAAACGTAGATTGCGTTATATCCAAAATGTTAACCAGGTTTTCAAGAAAAGATTTCGCCAGGAATATCTGGGAACTTTGAAAACAACAAGCAAAAAATTCGCTAGAAGTTGTAAATTAAAAGAAGGAGACATTGTCTTAATTGGAAGCGATGACAAAAGGAGATTAAATTGGCCTCTTGGTAAAATCATATACAATTATTTCCAGGTACCGACGGTGAAAGTCGACGAGCCAGAATTAAAATGCAAAACAGAGAAGTCATAAGAGCTGTACAAAATCTTTATCCTTTGGAATTATCGACTGCCGAGGAACTTCCATCGAAATTCAGCAGAAGTCAACTATGCAAAAATATTTTGGTAGAGCAAACTCCAATTGATGATGTACCTGTAGAAACAAATAGAATAATCCATACCCATTTAAAATCGCCCACGATAACCAAATCAGGAAGGACAATTAGAGTTCCTCATCGATTGGACTTGTGAGAACAATGTTTAATTTTTATTATTATTTTGCAATACTCAATTCCGAATTTGCAAGATGGGAGGATGAACAATATTTTGACTCTAATATTTGTGTTTCTATTTTTTTTCTAACTGCAGCTTCTGAGTAATATTGCACGAGCTTCAAGCAGATGTAATCGTTTTCTTTACTCTATAGGTTTTTTTTTATTCATTATCTATTCATATTATTATTATCTATGTTTTATAACAGTTTATGTTTCAGAGAATGGCAATATACTATGTTGTTCTTCTTTTTAGAGAGTTAGTGTAACTTTTGTTTTCATCATTTGAGAGTATGAGTAAAGGAATTATTTAATTATTGTAGAGTCATAAATAACTAAAGAGATATAGATAGTTATTTCCGAGTAATAAATAGTTCTTGAGGTAACAAATTTGGTGAGAATTTTTGAACAATGGAAAAATACTCTAGAGTCATCTGCCTGAGGGATGAATTTCTAAGGAAAATTGGCTTGTATTCATTTTACATATGAGAAAACCCACAAAAAAAGCCAACCATATAGCCAGCCTGTTAACCTGGGATCGAACTTCCAACATTCAGAGATCTCAGACACTAGTGGGTCTTTAACATATTTTTAAGCTGAACTTATTTGTTTTATCTTCATAAAAATGTTAGACATTAATGACTTCTGTTATCAAGCAAAAGAAGTTTCCAATTTAGAATGCATTCAGTTTCTACTACTTGTAGCAATGAAATAAAACAAGCAAACGAAGTTTTTATACATTATAAAGGAACTCTTGTTTCATTCAGTTCATAATAAACAGACAGAATACATACCTCAGAGTCAAAATCCACAGAATATATGGAGGAATTACTTTCATGAGCAACTCCTTTTAAACATGCTTGACCTAAATAAAAGCAAACATAATGTTACAAATAATGATATTTTGTGACAATCTGTGTTAAAAACCATTTTAAGAAATAAAATAAAAACACTACACAATGAAATATGCTACAGTACAAAATCTGAGATCCAGACATCCAATATCCGGAATGATCTAAAATCTGGACCTTAAAACCACCAAAAAATATATTTTCTAAGGAATTTTGTTTTATGCTTTACTCATGCAGATTTGCTCCCCCCCCAATAAAACATTTGGAGAATCCTGATTCTTAATTTCACTTCGGCACTAAATAAAATACCTTGTTATTAAAGGTGGTGTGGTGTGGTGTATTTAATTATGGCAAAGCACACTAGGGCTATCTGCCTAAGGGGAGGGATGCCTTCGTGGAGGACTTTCTAAGGGAAACTGGCTCGTATACACGTTACACATGGGGAAAACCACGAAAACACCCATGCAGCCAGCCCGTTCGCGGGATTCGAACCTCGGACCGAACTACCAGTGTTCAGCGACTTTACCGCTCGGCCGCTGGTGGGCCCCTTGTTATTAAAGAAACAATCATCTTAGCATAAATTTGTGTCATCAATAATTTAGCTGCATATCTGCTTGGCATACACCTCAAACCAAAACTTTCTACATAGAAACATCCGTGATTTTACAAGTACTTACATTTCATATACCTGATGCCAACCTGACGAATCCTTATTTATTACATTTTGCTTTTATCACCGAATGACAACTTGATTAATGACTCATGCAGCGATGCCTAAACACTTTTTTATACTAATAACTGAATAACAAAGAGTATGGAAACCTTTTATGTTGACATTACACTTGGGGATGACTACAGATCTAAGTTAAATATGCTAAATGTTGACGCAGAAAAATTTAACAAAAATTTCTTTCCATATGCTAAAAAATAGATTTCATTAACGATACTCATAGGACAAAAGATTACATTTAGTGTTGTGTGAATTAAGAATAACTGATTTTTTATTCACATAAACACAGAACGGTGCCAGAGCTTATATGGCCACACATGACAGCAGAATTTAGGGAAAGCACTGGGACCCAAAATTAAGGGACGGTAAAAATTTAGAACTTAGTGAGACACTTGGTAGAAGAATTTAGGACTTGCAAAGACCGCATCAGATGGCAAAATAACTAGAGTCGCCCTCCATGAGCTTAAGTATATGTGGGAATATATTTATTCAGGACTCAGATAAGCATGTGCAAGAAATAGACGTAAGTATAACAAATGACTAAATTAATACAATTCAGGCTTATTTGTCTCAGTGTGCAATTGAAGCAAGACAAAATTTAACAGAACAACTTGTCTTTCATTGCCAATCTCATGTTATATAGCTAATATTGTATAGCTTATGCTGTTAAGCTAGGCTAAAATTATACTTTACTGATTCCAAAAAATTTCACTTAATATAGCAGATTCCGCTGCTCCTTAATTGTCTGATTTGATCCAGGTTATTTTATTTTTATTTTTTTTTCTTTTTGCAGGCTGTTATAATTACAGCAGTTTTATGAAAACTAAAGTTTCAATTTTCGATTATATCGAAAGGAGTTTCTAATTCTGGAGATGCAACAGGATCTACAAAGCAAAAGTGTGTTTAGATGTCCATTAAACAAAAAGTGGAAATGCTGCAAAAAATAGATATAGGTATATCGGTCTCTAAATTATACAAGAAGTATGGCATTGGAAAGTCAACTGTATATGGCATGACTCAAAAAGGAGCTTTATGAATTTTCTGTGGATTAAAACACCCCACTCACAATGAATAACAGAAAAATTACTCGGCGTGCTTAAAGTGACAATTGACAAAGTGATGATTGAATGGGTCAGACAGCGTTGCAGCGAGGGTGTGCCATTGATGGGTTCAATGCCATTGATAGCTGAAGCCAAAATATTTCATGAAGAAATGAACTTAAAAACTGAGTGCACATATTCAACAGATTGGGTAACCAAATTTTGAAAATGCCATGGTATAATGCAATTAAAAATTCCAGGTGAAAAAGCTTCAGCTGATACTGAAGCTGCTAAACTATTTGCAGATGAATTCATTGAACTCATTAATAGTGAAATGTTATATCCAGGAAAAATTTACAATGCTGTTAAAACTGGTCTTTTCTGGCAATATCTGCCGCAAAATACCTAAGAAGCCTCTACAAAAAAGGCTCTAACTGGTGTCAAAGATTTTAAAGCCAAACAATTTTAGTATATACAAATGCTGCAGGAATGCAAAGAGCAAACGTTTCGTAGTTGGAAAAAATACACGACCTCAAGCATTTAAAGAAGTAAAGATTTTCCCTGTTATATATACCATGCAAATAAAACAGCACGGATGACACAAGCCTTAATGCATGATTGGTTTGAAGATCATTTCATACCCGAGGAGGCTCAGTAAAATTTGAATTCGCTTGGCTTAGCTGATGATGCAAAAATTCTCCTGATTATAGATAACTGTTTGGCTCATATTTCACGTAAAGTTTATTGAAAGATAATATATCTGTGTTATTCTTTTCTCCAAATTGTATGCTTATCATTCAGCCTATGGATATCGGAGTAGTGCATGTGCTGAAATGCAAATATAAAGTACCATTTTTAAAATCCATGTTAAATTTCATGAATAAGGGCAAGACTATTCAAGAATTTTTAAAATACTTTAGCATAAAATCTGCCGTGTGAAACATCGAAAGATCGTGTGAGGATGTGCCTCCGGATATTTTAAAAATATGCTTGGCATAATTTATGGCCAGCTATCATACTTCATGAAGATAATAGTCATGAATTTAAAGGTTTTTGGATAATGCAAAACACAGGTGAAATTTTCCAATTAATGTATTTTGTAAAGAAATGTGGAGAAGCGGTAATAAATGAATTTAATAGAAGTTTTTCATTGTGATGATGATGCTTCAATCATCAATCAACTAATGGATGGCGAAATCTGTAGTATGGTTCTAGATCCAGAAAATACCTCTACGGATAGTGAAGAAAGTGGCAGAGAGGTTACAGAAGGAAAAAAATTTCGATCGACAAGTTAGTCGGAATTCATGACACGGCAACTACAGGACTTTAACAGTGAGACTTTGTAACTCAACAAGAAATTACGTCTGTAGAATTTAAGAGAAAATATTAGCACAAAAAATGAAGCAACTTAAACAATACACATTGAAGGAAATGTTTAATAAAGTAAACATAAATAAATACTAAGCTTTTTTTTTCTTGTAAATTTTATACCCTTTAGATCATAAATGCTTCATTATTTCATAAATCACGAATTTAAAAATTTCAAATTTTTAATTTTGTAATTCCTGCATGCCATCTTACTAGATTTAAGCTGATGATCTAATATACGGAAAAATCCCAAATCCGGAATCGCCAAAGTCCCGACGAGTCTGGATCTCGGACTTTTGTACTGTGCACCTGCAGCAAGGAATAAAGAAATCCTCATTTTTATCCCTTTCAATTTAACTTTATTTAAATTCTTTTCTCCGTTTGCCAAGCACTTCCTAGCAAATTTACATTGTATTTTTTACATGCAGGTCTAGTATAGGTTATCAAAAGAAAGTTACAGAAGAAATTCTGTTATTATTTAACATAACTTTCTATGAGGAAAAGCAAAAGAGGATACCACGTGCCTCCCTAAGTTCTAAATTTTTGCCGCCCGTAAATTTTGGGTCCCAGTGCATTTCCTAAATTCTAAACTTTCTGCCATCACTCAATTTTGCTACTTGGTGCTTCTCTAAATTCCAAAAATCTTGTCTTCCGTAAATTCTGTGCCGCCTGGTGTGGTCATTCAAGTTCTGCCACAGGTTCTGGGTTTATGTGAAAAATCAATTCAGTTATTCTAAATTCAATTAATATGAAATATAATTTTGGCCAATGAATCATTACCAAAACCTATTTTTAACATGCGGAAAGAAATTTTTGTTAAATGTTTCCTCGTAACATTTAGCATGTGATGCTAAACTCCTTGCATATAACTTAAATTTGTAATCATCGCCAAGCACAATGTCAACATAAAAGGTTACCGCACTCTTTGTTATTAAATTACTAATATAAAATAAAACAGTTTAGTCATCATTGTATGTGTCATTATTCAAGTTGTCATGTGTTGATAAGCATCTGGTGATAAAAGCAAAATACAATCAAAAGTCGTTAATTCGAACACCTTAAACGTTAATTCGGCAACTTAAATAACTTACATTAAAAGAAAGGTTTAATAAAGTAAACAAATAAATATTAAATTTTTTGTGTATATTTTGATACCCTTTAGATCATAATTGTTCTTTATTTCATAAATTACGGTTTCATAAATTATGGTTTCTGCATGCCATCTTACCAGATTTAAACTGATGATCTATAATCCGGAAAAATCGATAATCTGGAATCTCTGAAGTCCCGACGAGTCCGGATTAACGACTTTTGACAGTATAATTATTGTATCACTGTCTATGCTCTAAGAAAAGTTACTTATACATGATCTCATTAGTACTTTTATCAAGATGGTTGAAAACATGAAGAAGGCGAATTTGTACATTTTCCCAAGGTGGGATTTCAAAATGCTTCTCTGATTGGATGTCTAAGCCAGACATGCAGTATTTCTCAACTAGTGAGTGAACCCTTAGGGAGAAGGTAGGAATACAAGAGGGTCATACTTCAGATAAGGGTCACACATGCCATCAAGCAGAAGAACTTTCTTTAGAAGGATGGTTCACTTGTGATAAGATATTAAACTAATACCGAAGGGAAATTGCTCAGGGCTTAAATGGAATGGTGGTTCGTTACAGTCAGCATACAGGCTTTCAGCTGGGGATATTTTAAATGCTCCAGAACAAAGCCACAAGGCTTGATTGTGCACAGGATCTAGCTTCAATAAAATCAAAGATTTAGCCAAAGCCACAGAAGAAGAGTTCACGAAGACTTAAAATATTGTTTCGAAATACTTCTTCCTCAAGTACAGGAACATGAGGAACAAAGATCAGCTTTC